TGAATGCCAAGTCTGAGTCCACGGCTGGGTGCACGGTCGTCACTCACGGTGCGGGGCAGCCGTGATGTAGGTGTCAGAGTCATTATTCACCCTCTGAGCTCCTCTCTCTGGGCTAGAGAGGGAGACAGACTTTTTTTCCTTTCTTTTTACAGAGGGAAGATTGGTGTAGGCTCACATTAGCGGTTTGAATGTCAAGGACAGGATTCGGGGGGCTGTGAGAGTGATTCCAGGGCTCGATAGAATGGGTGCTTGGTTCTTTCCAGAACCAGAGAAGAACTGGTTCTTTCTGTGCCCATGCTTGTTTCCGATGTGTTCATTTACCTCTCTGTGCCCTCCGGCATGCACACGCATGTGCACGCACATGCGCACACACACACATACACACACACACACCCCCCGGTAGTTCTCAGTAAGGTGGAAGAAATGACAAGTGAGCAAACAGGCACGCTTTTCACCTAACTCCCTGGTACTTGGCACCGAAGGCTCTGACAGGCTGGTGGGCAGGGGTGACCAGGCCAAAGCACCAACGAAAAGCCTTGCTGGCTATTTTTGGGACGAATGACCCACCACTTCCAATGACTTGCTCCTAAATGGCGTCTAATTTCATTAAGCCTTGGAAACAGTGACATCACGAGTGCCTGCCTGGTAGCCGCCCACATATGGCGAGCCACAGAGTGATCTGAGATTCATCTGCAGGAGCAGGGGAGAAGTGAGGTCCCGAGCAGCAAAAGTTAAAATAGCAAAGCTGAGGCATTCTGCTATGAAAAGAAATTACAGAAGAAATCCATTAGTCAGAGATTTCCAGCGGCAATTTCCTTGCTTGGGAGCAAAAGAAGACTTATGCGTGTTTATTTTGGGTGCGGTCATGTAGCCATTCCTCACTCAGTAGGCTAGGTATGGCATGTAAAGTGAATTTCTGTTAAGTAAATCCTGTAGTCTCATCGACTTCTAGTACTAATGTCGATGTATGTTTTATCTTAAGGTAAAATGAGTTAGAGGCATAGATTCAGCATGTTTGATTAAAATAGTGACGCTGGTACCTATTGGACCATGATAGTAAGCCACAAGTCCAGGTAGACATTTTTCTCTGTGGGTTCCTTTGCCCAGGTCTCTCCAAGTGAGCTCTTCCTTCTCAGGCACAGAGCAAAAGGGAGAGGGAAAAGCTGCTTAATCCAGATTCCTGGTCTCCGTGGGGGCAATTGAGGCCATGGCCATGACTTCACCCAGCGGGAGCAGAGGCAACTGGCTGCCTTTCAGACAGAACACAGACTCAGTGGGAAAATGAGCTTCCCACATGTGAAGTTTTGCTCTGCATACAACACAGTTTCTCAACTTAAGATCTCCGGACATTTGGGGCCAGTAATCCTTTGTTGTGGGGGACTGTCCCATGCATTGTAGGATTGTCGGATGTATTAGCGTTCCTGGCCTCAACCTGCTAGGTACTAGGAACACCCCCTACTCCCCAGTGTGACAACCAAATGTCTTGGGGCAGCGGGGGGTGGGGGGGGGAGGCGCAAAATTGCCCCTGGTTGAGAACCACTAGCATATGGCTTTTCAAGAGCATAAGAGATAACAAGGATTTAATAAGTTTTTTGTTGGCTTGTTTCTGTTTTAAATATTTTGAGTTTAATGATACCTTGAACTGGGTAAGTCACTCCTCTTCTTGGGGCTTTCATTTTCTCATCTGTAAAATGAATGGGTTGGATATAGTGATCTCAGAGTACCTTCTAGACCTGACAGTGGGCAGTGCTGAAGGCAGGAGGCCCCTGTGGGGTCTCTGTGTTTGCATCCTGTCCTAGCATGTGACAAACCTCTTGCCCTCCCAGCTCCAGTCACTGGCTCCCGTTCTCCTGGCGCTTGGCATCCAGATCAGTCAGTCTTCCTTAAGTCCAGCTGATGGTTCTCTTACTTTGAGTCAAGCCCACTTTGCCGCCCCCTTTCAAAGTGAAAATTTCTCAATATCCAGTACAAGGAACCCCCGAAGCCCCAGCTTCCCCACTATCCATTTCGTCTTAATCTTGTTAAGACCAGCCAGTGGGTCTTATCTTTGTACAGATGCATTCATTGAGGTAATTCCCCAAGGGCCTGGGTTGGGCAGGGCTGGGCAGCAAGAGGGCCCAGGTCCTGTCTTTGGGAAAATTACAGTCTAGGGGGAGGGCAGGAAAAGAGTGTTTTTTGTTTGACAACAATAAAGAATCCATCTTTTCGCTTTTTCTGTTAGAGGCTAAGCAATTCCAGTTCTTTAACCTTTTTTCCTAAGATGTATTTTCCACTGAAATGGTCTTGGTTTGTCCCCACATTGTTGGGAAAAGCAGCAAGAACATGAATTAGGCCTGGATTCAGATTCCTAGCTGTGGCACTTCACAGGTGTGTGAGCTTAGCTAAACCGCCAGCCTCTCTGAGCCTCATCTATAAAATGGGCTCAAAATCCCTAACTTGAAGGTTGGCCAAGAGAATTGAGTGAGAACATGCCAGTCAAAGGCATAGCATGAGCTGAGCACACACTAGATATACAGTAAGAATCCCTTTCCCCCTCCTCCACTGTCTTTACCCTTTCCTCCATATTCTCTTGACACTGGGTGGCCACAGCTAATCACATCACCACATCACCACAATGAGGGACTGACTAATGTAAGTCAGAGAGGACGGCTCACTTCCCAGTCTGTCACATGCTGGGTTCTCACCAGCCTTCCTGTGGCCCGTTTTCTTAGTGACATTCACTGCTGACTCACTTGGCTTGTGGTCAGCTCTGTACCCAGGGTCTTTTTCAGCTCTCCCTTTACCCCATCACCACTCCCCAGTTTAGATTTGTGGTGTGGGAATGGGGTAGTTATTAGAGAACATTCTGTTTAGGTGGCCCTTCTCAAGAAGTCAAAAGCATTACTAGACCGGCAACTTCATGAGGGTAGGACCCATGTCTACCTTGACTACTTCCATTTTCCTACACCTAGAATATGGCCAGCAAGTGCTTAGTATGTATCTGTAGAATAAATTAATGTATTTTGAGCTGGTCCATGTCTTCCAGGAGTTTCCCACTGCTCTAGGGCAGCATCTGTGGAAAAGTAAGCAAAACCTTGAGACTTTAACTTACCAATGGGTGAGCTCTATCCTGATTCCCACAAGTATACAGGGCAGTGGAAGGACCATGGCCTATGACTCAGATTTGGGTTTGATTCCCAGCTGTACTGGTCACGGGCTTGGTGACCTTGAACAAGTGGCTTATAGCTTAGCCTTAGTCTTCTCCTTGGAAAAGTGGGATATCCGTGTCTGCCAGGGTTATCATAAGAATTAAATGTGAATATGTGTGTGTAAAAGTACCCAGCACAAGCTGGGCAGTGATCTTGGTTTCACATCAGTGATTCTCTCCAAAGCACCTCTTTCCTTTGATCACCATTGCCTCCAATAGTTTGGCCCAAGTCTACCCTCCTCTCTTAGACCTTTGTTCACTCAGCCTTCCCCCCACTCTTCCCACCCCCAACAAAGACATACTCTTGACACCCAGCAAACATTTGTTAAGCCAGCCCCTCAAAATCAGATGCCTACAGGGATCCAGTATGTGTGAAGAAAGCAGCTGTGTGGGATTTTTATGTGAAATCTCCCCCTTAAATTGTTTTTCTTAAATTCCATTAAATTAAACACATTTTTTTAACTTTTTATTTTGCCATAATTTCCGGCTTACAAAAAAATTTGCAAAACTAATGCAAAGACTTCCCATATGCCCTTTATCCACGCTTCCCCAAAAGTTACCTACCATCTTACATAACCAAAATACCACTATCAAAACCAGGAAAACAACACTATACAGAGGTATTAATTGATACATGGATCCTATTCGGATCCCAGCCATTGTCCCACTGATGTCCTTTTTCTCATCCAGGATATCCTGCATGATTTAGTTGTCATGTCTCTTTAGTCTCCTCCAATCTCTGAAAGTTCTTTAGCCTTTACTTGCCCCCATGACATTGATACTTTTGACAAGTACCGGCCACTCATGAGCCCTCAGTTTGGATTTGTGTGTTGCTTTCTCATGATTCATTTGAGGTTTTACATTCTGAGCAAGATCCCCCACAGGACTTTATGGTGTGCCTTCCCCAGTATGTCAGATCAGGAGGCACATGATATGTCTCCTTATTGGTGACACTCATTTTGGTCACTTGGTTAAGATGATGTCAAGTTTCTCAACTGTAAAGTTACTCTTTTTCCCTTTGTAATTAAAAAGGATTTTGTGGGGAGGTACTTTGAAGAAATATCCTGCTCCTCATCATACTTTTGATTTATTCATTTCTTTATATAGATTTGTGGTTTCCTATTTTATTCAATGGGTTATAATCTATTCCTATGATTATTGATTTTAATGCTCACATTGTCCTTTCTTTGGCCAGTGTCCCCATCATTCTTTGAACACTTTCTTGCTTTCTGACATAAGAAGGTGCTCCAAGTTCATCTTGTTTTTTCCCTGCCTAGTCCTGGAACCAGCCTTTTCTCCAAGTAAAGAATGATATTTAGAAGCCAACATTTGTATTGTGTGGTGACTAACATAACATAATAAAATAAAAAAAAAAAAAAAGCCAACATTTGAGTATCAGATGCCCTCTTTGCTATCTGGCTGTCACTGTTCCTGGACCCTCTCATGGAATGAGCTAGGAAATATATGTGAATATGACATGTATTTCTGTATTTGTATCTGTTGAAAATCATGAATTCACAGTGAAACCTCCATGTCCACTCTAGCACCACAGTTTATTCTATGTTTCTCTCCATGTATACCTACCTTCCCCAACAGTGAGGCACCTGGCCCCCATTATCCTCACTGTATTTACATATTCATTTAGTGTGTCCCCCCCCACCCTCACCTGTGTATCACTCTCCCATCTCTCCCCTCTTCACCCTCACTAGGTTCTAATCTCTGCCCCCAGCTACCCCCACCTCCCCACCCTGAGCAGCCTCTGACTTCCCATGAAACTCCCAGTCTTGGAATGATGGTTTATAGCTTTTACACTATGAGGCCCAGTTTCGGCCTGTGGGCCCTGGCTGGTGACCTGATATTAACTGGACGGGGAAGCTGGATTGTAAGCCCCTCCTGCCTCTCTGGTGCCCGGCCCTCCCACCTGTCCTAGCACTGCGTGCCCGTCAACTCCGTGCTCCAGCACGCCAAGCTCAGTCCTCTTTCTTGGCCTCTGCTCTTGCTGTTCTCTCTACCTGAACTACTTTATGGCTCCACCCACCCTTCCTCCAAGCCTCCTGCTCTGTTCAGACATCACCTGCTGCCAGAAGCTTCATGGATTACCCCAGGTGCACTTCCTGGGTTCCTCCAGCACCTTCAGCAAACCCCGTGAGGGAGCACCACGGCATCCTCTTCCCATTGCCTTGTCTGTCTCTGTTGCTAAACTATAGGCACGTGGGGCCAAGGGCCGATTTTTATACGTGTGTTCCTAGTGCCTAAAAGAGGACTTAGCACATATTAGGTGTTCATGAATGTTAGTCAGATGAATATTAATAATAGTAACTGCAAATATTCTTATAGTACTTCCTGGGAGCCAGGCATGGTCCTAAGTGCTTTATATGCATGAAGCCACTTGGTCCTAACGGCTATGCTGTGAGATAGTATTGTTGCCCCCATTTTACAGCCAGAGGAACTGAGGCACAGAACGGTTATGTCAGTGACGTGCCCAGGGTCGCACAATGTGGAGTCATGTTTGAGCCCAGGTGGGCTAATTCCACAGTTCATACATGTTCTTACCTCTCATATGCCTCTCACAGCGAAAGGGGTCAGCATTTCAGAATAGGGGAGATGAGTAGGTCTGGATAATTGAGTCATGTGGACCCCTCCCTCTTGACCACACTCCCAGCCCGTTACTAGTGCCCCTCAGGGGCCCAAGAACAGATGACTGGTAGCTGAGCAGGCAGGAGGGAAAGTGTTGCCTTTTAACTTGGCAGCCCCAGGAATATCTTCTCCCCTGAGGTGTTAGGAAACCCAGCATGTTTCACGTGCAATTAGAGTGAGTGCACGGTAGGCAAATACCAGATCTTTCGCAAGATTCCAAGTCATCGCAGTGAGGTTAGCGGGGTGCTGACAACTTTTCCCCATCACCCAAGGGGAACCACGTGCCAACTGGTCACCCCTGAGAGCTGGAGCGGCCGGCGGCTTCACCATGCCAAGTCCTGCTGGAGAGCCGGGGAGCACGGTGTGGACTTAGCGCTCTGGTGATAGAGCTCTGCTTGGTGAGAAGTGTCTGCTCAGGTTCAAGTGACAGGAAGGAAGCCAAGTGTGTGAGGAGCCTCCTCTGTGAATGCTGCGTAAATCCGCCACAGGCACTCATTTCCATACTCCTCTCAGTGACCTGGCAGGGCCTGGTATTCGTAGCCACGAACAAGGAAACTGAGGCTCAGAGCGGTGAAGCCATTTGCCTAAAGTCACACAGCAAGGAAGACCAGCCCAAGATTTGAACCCAGGGTGGTCTGCTCCCAAGGCCTGCACTCTTAATTAAATAGCTGGCCAGAATGACACCATGTCTGTCTTCCTCCCAAGCCCCCAAATCTTCTGCCACCCCCATGACCCTCGTTTGCTCTGGTGGGGCCCATAGGAGAGAAAGGCATCTGCTCCGTGTGTAGGGAGGAAACCCCTGTCTGACGGAGCCAGAGCCTTGGCAAGCGAACACCGAGCCTGTGGGCCTCAGGCAGGATTTTACGTTAACTTCATGCCTTGGAGTTGAGAATCCCCACAGGCAGGCTGCAGGAGCTGGGGCAGGGGGGAGTGGAAACAGGAGGGGCAAGGGGAGGCAGGAAAGGGAAGAGGGGGAGGAGAGGTGACTCCGGGCAAGAATGCAGTGCCGTCATGGAACTCAGGAAAGACTGCGTTTCCCTATTTCCTCATTGTTAGCAAAGCCCAAGACATGGGTTCCGTTTGTTCCACAAGTGCTTACTGAGTGTCTGCTACGCCCCAGGCCCATGGTAGGGTCTGGGGACATGGCAGAGGACAAAACCTGACAAGGTCCCTGCCCTTGTGGTGGTTCCATTGGGATGGGGGGGGCGGAGACCAACCCAGAAACGTAACCAAACGAAGGTCGTCTCAGGTAGTTTAAGTGTTGTGAGAAAGTACTAGCAGTACTAGCCTGAGGGCAGGGTCCCCTCAGAGGGGGGTCCGGCAGGCCTCCTGGAGGAGGTGGCCTGAAAGAGTGGGAGAAGCTGGTTCTGGGAAGAACCGTGGCTCGCGCACCAGGTGGCATGCTGGCTGACACCATCTCCCCTGCTGCCTGAGACCTGCACCCTTGTACCCACCTCACCCCTGTCCCCTTTGCTCTCTGCAGGTTTGACATCTACAGGAAGGTGCCCAAGGACCTCACGCAGCCGACATACACCGGGGCCATTAGTGAGTAGTGTCCTTCTTGCCGTTGCCCCCCGCCCCTCCCCCCATGCCATACCTGGGCCTGCTCTGCCCGAGCAGAGCTGCTGAACCAGAGAGGAAAGAAGGAGAGGAGAAAGGATGGGCATCTTGCCAGCCCTTCATATAGTTCCTCATCTGTCCACACCATGACCCTGCAAGATATAGGCATTGTCTGTTTCTGGAAGGATACACCTGGAATCATCAATAGTAATTGCCCCTGGGAGGGGAGACTGGGGCTCAGGGGTTGGGGGAGACTTACTTTTGCCCTCATACCTTTTAGACTACTGGAATTTTTGACATAAGCATGTTTTTAATCATTAAATAATAATAGTAATTGCACTAGATTTTGGTTTCTTTTTTTTTTTTTTTTTTCAGATTTTTTTTTATTCTTATGTTAATCCCCATACATTACATCATTAGTTCTAGATGAAGTGTTCCATGATTCATTGTTCGTGCACAACACCCAGTGCT